GGTGGCTTAAAACTCACGCCGGGCGCGTGTGCGTGCGTGCCCAAGATCCTGAGAGGAGAATGGAGGAGAAGGGATTGCGGCGTGGCCATCCCCCCTGGGGGGTGATTTCTCGCTTTCTAGCTCTCTGTCTCTCTCTGTCTAGTGAGCGCTCGTGCCCTATAGCAAAAACCTCTCCAAAAAAAAAAAACAAGGTGAGTTTATTAAATCTGCATGCAGTGAAGTACCCCCACTACCTGATGAAAGTGGAGCATTAAGAACTTAATCAGCCTCAGTGTATGAAACAGGGCATAATACTCGGCCGATTATAGTGAGGGAGGGTGAAGGTAATGGCATGGCCTGGGGAACAGGAGAGAATATCTTTGTGATTTGGTATCTATAAATAGGAGGGCGTACAGGAGATGGAAAATTGTGGACAGTTCCAGGGTTTAAATATGGCCAACTGACCTCCTTAGAAACAGAAAACCAGGAGACAAGAACTGATGTTTGGAGGCAAAGGAGAAATTATTTGAATTTTGAATGATGTTATGTGAAGGCTTTTTCAGTGCCTGTTGATCCTGCTTAATTATTAACGACCTTAAAGTAATCTTCTCTGTATGTAGATCTTAGCAGATCATTTATGAGTATGATAATGACTTTAATTGAAAGTAGTCAATGTGAGAAAAGTGCCCTTGGTGATCTTTTCTCATTTGTAATTAATAGTTACCATTTGCTGAACGCTAAAGAAAGATAAATTATCTCTAATTTTAGTGGTAATCCTAAATAGCAGACCAGTGGTCTTCAAAGTAGTATGTACACCTCAATATAGGAAGAAAAATACATACATTGGGGACGCACGTGTAAACTATTTTTATAAACTGACAGCTGCATAAAGTTCAAAGATCACTAAGGTATATCTGATTATAAAAACAACTAATAATTAAAGAGTTATAGCTATGTGTTAGTGTTTTATGTCGATTACCACATTTACTTCTCACAACTATGTAATAATGAAGTAATGAGTTTACTATTACTTCCGTTTGACCAGTGAAGAAACAGGCTGTGAGAGATTCAGAAACTTTGCCAAGCTCACATACTAGTATATGATGGAAACGAGTTTAAACTCTGGCAGTCTGGCCCTTTAATTCATGTTGTTAACCACAACTTTATTATAGTAACCTGCATAATTAAACCCAGTGCCTCCCAAACTGGGTACATTCAGAATAACCTGAAGATACTGTAGGTCAGGTGTACCTGGGAATCTCCCTTTAAAAAAAAAAGGAAAAGGAAGGAACCCACTCTTCTCAGGTGAGGACTTGCCTGTCTTTACTACTAAGGAAAGCATCTTGAGCTGTATTTGGAAGAGCAAATGGGACAGAGTCATATAAAGTCAGTTCCTCTGAATCCAAAACTTTAAAACTTCATTCTCTCTGGGACCAGCAGATGGCGTAATGGTTATATCCTTGGACTCCCAACGTAGTCAACTGCAATTCGAGTCCTGGACCTGGCGACTTAAAACTCATGCCAGGCACGTGTGTGTGTGTCCACTATCCTAAGAGGAGAATGGAGAAGGGATTGCGGTGTGGCCTTACCCCCTGGGGGGTGGTTTCTTGTTTTCTCTCTGTTTTTCTCTGTCTCTCTGGTGAGTGCATGTGCCCTAAAACAAAAATCTCATAAAAAACAACAATAAAAATATTCTCTTCTACAGTTGAGGTGATTAATTAAACCAGAAGTTTTATTTAGAATAGTCCTGCCACTGCTTGACAGGACATTTCTCTAATTGGTGTTATGTATGTGTGTGTCTGTGTGTGTGTGTGTGTGTGTGTGTGTGTGTGTATCTCTTGTAAAAAAACAAAACAAAACAAAAAAACAAGGAATTTAAAGAAAATAGATGTGGAAAATGTATATTATGAAAAAACTATGCATGGATTAAAAAAAAATTTGCTAGAGGGTGCATGTGCTCACAAGAGAAGAAAAGCGAGAAAGTACCCTCTATAGGGGATGGCCACACCTCAGTCTCTCTTCCTCCGTTCTCCTCTCAGGATTTTGGGCACACACGCACATACACCCATTGTGATTTTCAAGCTACCAGGCCTGGGACTTGAACCATGGAGTTGGCTATGTGGAATCTGGCAGCCTTAACCTCCATGTCATCTGTTAGCCCCTCACATTTTTTGGTACCAAAATAAACTCACCCTTAAATTATGTTTTTTCATGAAAAATGGAAGTAACTTCTGTGTACGCATGTATATATTTTTATATATGATTTTTTGGACACAAAATATTGTTTAAATAACTAGGTCAATTAAAGAAAAAAGCAACAGTCAACTGTGTTTAAGAAGAAATGGTAATACTCACATTATCAGTACCTATTAAACAGCCCACACTTTTCAAAGGACAGAATGTATCAAATTGTCCATAAAAATGTCCGCTGCAGGGATTCCACAGGAAATAATAACTTTGCTCCCAGGTTAGTACATAAGCAGTTGGACCCTGAAGGAAAATGGCCATTAAAAACAATTTCCAACCTATTATGCAATTAAGATCAGCAGTACTTTGTACAATTACTAATTATAATTAACTTATTTAAGTTTTTTAGTTCTTTCATGAAGGGAGAGAGAGACAAAAAGAAGGAATGCACAGTAGAGACAGGCAGGAACCCCAACAGGGAGTACATGATGCAATCCACACCCTATCCCACCTCAGCTGGCTTGAATCGGCACACGTATGTGCCCAACATGTGTAGGAGGGCTCCAAGACACAAGTCCCCTCCTGGGACTATGAGAGGTCCAGTTCAATTACCTTGCACCTTTTTCTGACCCTACAATTCATTTTTCTAGTTAGTCCCTTTATTCCCATATTTTAAAAAAGAATTATTTCTAGTTCTGCTATAGGGGATGTGCACTCACCAGAGAGAGAGAGAGAGAGAGAGAAGATGAGAAATCACCCGCTGGGGGCAGAGCCAAGCTGCAGCCCTAGCTCCATTCTCATCTGGGGATTTGGGGCATGCACACACACACACACACATGCCTAGCGTATTTTTCAAGCTGCTGGGTCTGGGACTCAAATTGCAGTCAGCTACGACAGATTTAGCTGTTTTAACCACCATCCTACCTGGTTGGTCTTGGTCCCTTAAAGTTCTAGGTTGTGTTAGATTTAAAAAATGAAATTGCTGTTTATTTTTGCAGAAGTCTTACATCTGTACTTGTCCAGTGTTGTGACCAAATAAGGGCAGCAATCATCTTAACCCAACCAGTGTACCTTAGACTGGCTGGAGAACTGCTAATGGAGATAAGCAGTCACTGCATTTTCCTTTGCAGAGTTAGTGAGATTGCCACTTAAGGACATAGAAGACTGATTATGTCTGAATGCTTTTTCTCTTTCCAATACAGTAACTTACTTTTTGGCATACATTTTTTAAAAGTTTCTTTCATTACAGAAAGAGAAGAGAGACACAGGAGCAGGTACCATGCTGCCATCCCCCCTCCCACCTTCCAGCCAGCCAGGGTCACGCGCACAGTGTCACTAGCATGTTCTAGTTGACCCAGTTTCCAAATCCAGGGCCTTCCATACAGCACCCTACTGCCTATACCACCGTGGCGAGGCCTGATATGTTTGTCACTATGTAAACACAGAAGAGGATTAGAAAGGTTCCATACCAAACCGTTAAGAACACCTGGGAAGGGAGCAGGTTTGGGAGTTGGAGCCTGAGAAGAGACTTTTACTTTTTTTCTAAGAATACTTATGTAGGAGCCAGCAGGTGGTGCAGTAGTTAAGTCACTGAATTTTCACATGGCCAACTGTGGTTCAACTCCTACCCTGCAGCTTGAAAATCATGCTGGGCACATGTGTGTGCATGTCCAAAATCCTGAGGGGAGGATGGAGAAGGGATTGCAGTGTGACTGTTCCCCTGAGGGATCATTTCTCACTTTTTCTCCTCTCTCTCTCTCTCGGGTGAGCACATGTACCCTATGGCAAAAACCTAAAACAAAATGTATTATTAGATTCTTTTAAAAAAAATGAGTATTTATTCATTTATTGCTACTGTATGATTTCACAATAGCCTTCTGGGAAACACAGGGCAGAAATTATTATCCTAGTTTTCTTATGGAGCTCATAATTGTGAAGTTACTTTTCAGGGTCACATAGCTAATAAGGAGTGGGCACAAAGCTTTGAACTCAGACCTTCCTTGTAACTTCCTGGCCCACTGTTTTTGTTTTTGGTTTTTTCTTTTCTTTTTTTTTCTTGTACTAGGCTATCTGAAAGATAATGATGGAGAATAAATTCATATACCGATATGATATGACCTCATACTTGATTAAGGAACTCATGCTGTTCTCTTCCCAAGGATTCCTAGAGCCTCGTGGCCTCCTTTTGAAATATAATTTGGATAAGTTGCTTCAATTCATGTGAATTTTCTAACCTTGTATTCCAAATTATCCATCGTGTCCCAAATTCAAGAGTATTTGCAGTGGAGTAGGAAAAAAATTCTAATGGTCACATCTACAAGCTAATGAAAATAAGAATGATAATATCAAAATGTAACTGCTAAAATGATTTTCTTTCCTCTCGTGGTTATGTTTTGTTCCCCACTGCCTGCCAGGTTAGCGCAGATGCCTATAGAAACAGTAGCTACGGAAGGAGAGGTCTCTAACCTTACCATACTTCTTTCAATTCCCTTAACGCTTTCACATAAAGAACACCAGATCACTAAGAGAATCAGAATTCTTAAGAACATGGACTAGAGGACGCATACCCTGAAGGGCAGCTAGATGGGAGCTTTGGGTGGCAAAAGGTTCCGGTTTGGCAAAAAATAATCTGAATGCTGTGTACCACTGAAAAGCCATTTCATATCTATCACTGTAGTTCCCTGCCTGCTACGAATGTCTGGGCCACTTCCTTAGCAATCCAAGGATGGTCATAAAGTGTTGTCCATAATCTGAAACATTCACCTCAGTAAGACAGCCACACTCTCGTGTTAAAGCCAGTCTATGAAGTCTTACCTCAGGAATAGCATTGCCCATTACCAGCCAGGCCTTCTTACCCAGGGACAGAAAATAATTACATAGCAATACTGCATGCTCTTCTTCGTCTCCTGCCAGGAGATCAAGGAATTGCTGACAGGGAAAAAAATATATATTGTATTGACTACTTCATTCTGGGTTAATCCTGATTGAGATTAATGCCCTAAGAAGATCTATTTTCAAGTCTTTCCCAATTCTTGATACTATTAATTTTTTGTTTATTTATTTTTTACATATATATTATTTTAATTTTATTTTTATTTCTTCTTTTATACATTTCATCACGTTATTTAGCTTACAAAGTGAATATTCCAACATGTGTACATTTCTCCCTAGTCCAGTTGATAATACTATAAAATTATCTTCAACAGATAATACCAGGGAACCAGCAGTTAGCATAATGGCTATGTCGCTGGACTCCCACGTAGTCGACCGCGGTTCGTGTCCCGGACCCGGTGGCTTAAAACTCACGCCGGGCACGTGTGCGTGCGTGCCCAAGATCCTGAGAGGAGAATGGAGGAGAAGGGATTGCAGCGTGACCATCCCCCCTGGGGGGTGATTTCTCGCTATCTGTCTCTATGTCTCTCTCTGTCTGTCTGGCGAGTGCACGTGCCCTACAGTGAAAATCTCTCAAAAAAAAAAAACAAAACAGATAATACCACATTTCTTTGTCCCATTAATGCTTTGCCTGTCTATTTTTCTTCTAAATGTCATTTTTAAAGATACTTTAGTGGGCATGGTGTTTTCTCTGACATTGTGGGTTTCTACAACCAACCAGTTATGATTGGGATGACAGAGAGGAAACAAATACCAATGTTTTACTTTTCATTTTAAATATATGTGAAAGCTCACTATGTGTTAAATGCTCTTTAAAGCATATTGCATGTATTAACTCACTAAATCCTAGAACAACCCTTTGGAAGAGGTACGCTTTCTCATTTTACAGATGTAAAAGTTCCGTGTAAAGTGAAGTTGTAAAGTATAAAGCGAAGGTACAGATCAATAAAGTAATACCTAGAAAGTGGTATACTTAGTCTGGCTCTAGAGTATGTGAGGTATTCTATTCTTTGTACATCTTATAGAAATGTAGTCTAGAAATGTGTGTATCTTTGTATATCTTATAGATATCTCAGGGTTATAGAAATCTTGTCTCCAAAACTGTGAACATTCATGTTGCCAAAATATGTTGGGGAACAGTAAATTTGGAGTGCACTTAAATTTCTCAGTCTAGGGCCCAGCCATAGTGGTGCAGTGTAGTGCAACACTGCAATGCTGGAGTCCACATGCAGGTTAGGGTCTGGTTCCCAGGTTGGCCTGTGCACACTGGGTGTGCATCCATATGCCTGTGATCATGGGGGCAAGGATCACTACATGGGACCCTGTTAAGGGTACTCGTCTGTGTTTCTCATAAAAGAAAGGAAATTTCTTCAGGTTAGGGCTATCCTTCAAAAAAGTTACATAAACAGTCTTACGCAAATACAGAACAACATGAGCTTCAGAAACAGAATGACTGCCTGTGATAATACATAATTCATGTTTATTTCATACTACCTAAGGTCCATATCTTTTTTTCTTTCTTTTTTTGCTAGAAGGTGCTTGTTTTTCACCACAGAAAGATAGAGGCAGACAAGAGAGTAGAATGCACCCCCCTAGGGATGGGCACACTGCAGTACCTTGTGCTCCATCAGTATTTGGGCACACATGCATGCACTCTCACCCAGCATGTTTCTCCCACTGGGTCCAGGACTCGAACTGCATGGGTCAGCTATGTGCTATCTGGCTGCCTTAACCACCAGGCCACAGAATCAGCCCCTAAAATCCATTTACATGTTTATGTAGCATACATAGATTATACAGTCCATGATAGCAGGGACCAGATTTATTTTGCTCCTGGCCAAATCTCAGTATTGTTTGGTATGTGGCAGGTGACCAAAAAGTACATGGTGAATAAACTCAGTCCTGCACTTCACCATGGCATTTCAGTCAGCAACAGAGCGGCACATGATGGTGGTCCCGTAAGGAGCGTATAGGCTATACCATATGCCTAGGTAAATAGTAGGCATACCGCCTAACGATTTGTGTAAGGACCCCATGATGTTTCCACATGACAGAATTGCCTAACGACGCGTTTCTCAGAACGTCTCCCTGTTGGTGAGACCTGACTGTAATGATGTGACAGGCCTTGAGAAACCCACAAACTGAGGAAATACACTATACAGCTGTAATACACAATGTACTTCTGACTTTTTAATTCACATTTTTTTGTTCCTGCTCAAGTGCGTATGCATCATGTGAGACGGGGTGGGAGAGAGATTGCACCCTTCACTGTCTGATCACACCACAGCCCTTCTCGTCTGCTCTGCTAGACCGTCTGCGTGTGTGCCCAGAGCGCTCAGGCTGACTGGGCTGGGGGCCGAATCGTGACTGCTGTGTGGCATCTGGTTTCTCTTGAGCAGCACATTATTACTTCACCACTGAGTCAGTCATGATTTTGTACTTTTAAAAAATAAGAATAAAACTGGGATACTCTTAAGGTTAATATTAGGAGTGTAATTCATCATTAAGACAGCTAAAGTATTTTTTCTTTTTTTGGAGACTTTTTTTTGCTATAGGGCATGTGTGCTTGCCAGACAGACAGAGACAAAGTGATAGAAAGCGAGAAATCACCCCCCAGGAGGGATGGCCATGCCGCAATCTCTTCTCCTCCATTCTCCTCTTGGGATCTTGGGCATGCATGCACATGCACCCGGCGTGAGTTCAAGCCACCGGGTCCGGGACTCGAACCACATGGGAGTCCAGCAACATAGCCATTACACTAACTGCTGGTCTTGACAGCTAAAGTATTTTTTTTAAATTGGTTTGGTAAGTGAAATTTTTTTTTTTTGAGAGGTTTTTGCTATAGGGCACATGCGCTCGCCAGACAGAAAGAGACAGAGAGACAGAAAGCGAGAGATCACCCCCCAGGGGGGATGGCCACGCCGCAATCCCTTCTCCTCCATTCTCCTCTTGGGATCCTGGGCATGTACGCACATGCACCTGGCATGAGTTTAAGCTGCCGGGTCCAGGACTCAAACTGTGGTCGACTACATGGGAGTCCAGTGACATAGCCATTACGCTAATTGCTGGTCCTGAAATTTTTTAAACTTCTGAACTTCAGAGAAATCACTAGTGGCTTGCAATTTAAATTATGTAAGCCATTTAGCTAATATTCAGCTATGTTAGGTAGAGCTAGTAAAATCTGCATGGAAGAGCTACTTACATCAGATGTGCTCCACAGGTCACAGACACCAGCAAATGAAATGGTGTCAGGCAAGAACGGGATCAAGGAAACATAGCGAGCCACCAGTTCCTGTGCAAACAAACGAGCTTTAAATAGAGCTTCTAACCAAACAGAAAGCTGTGCTCCCTACCTCGTTTCTGTAAACAAAAATAAGTGTCATATATCACATTTATATGCACAAAAATGAAATCGGTGCTTAGTGATTACTCAGTGTTAATACTATCGCATCTAACCCTCACCAAGCGCCCCATGCAGAAGGTTGTTACTACATCCATTTTCACAGATGGATAAACTGGCTTCTATGTCCCTTCGAAATGTCCTCATTTTTTTGCACTTCTTTACTTTCCGGTATTACAAGACTTTCCAGGATCATCTTGACTTTTCTTTAGATTCATCCTGAAAGCAGTCATTTCTCTGAGGAACTCTGACTCCTTTTAGAGGGAAATAGTATTTAGGGATGAAGATGTGGTTATAACTCACATTTCTGTAATTTTAAAGGAAGTTGATCTCTTATATGTTCATTTGTCTTTTATATTTCTACTGTTTCTATTAAGCATTTTGCACATTTTCATACTGATTGTAGGAGTTTCATTCTTATTATTTCTTTATGTAGTACATACGTTATACATATCTTCTTCTGATTTGTGGCATTTAAAAAATTTTTCTTCATGGTGTCTTTTTAAAAAATTAATTAATTATTTAATACAATTTGTTATCATTACTATTTTTTTTTTTTAAATTTGACCAGAGAGAGACAGAGAGAGAACCAGGACACCAACCGGGTCAGCCATATGGGAATCCAGTGCCTTCAACTACCACACCACCTGTTGGCCCCAGTGATGTCTTTTGATAAACTCAAGTTCTCAACTTTATTATGGTCAAATTATTCTTTTTTCTTTGTAGTTTGTGCTTTTTAAAAATAATATATTTTCTTTTAATTTCTTTTATACATCACTTAGCTTGTAAAGTTAGTTTTCCAACATGAATGTATTTCACACCAGTCCAGTTGGGGATGCTATACACATTATCATCAAGTGATAATCTATTTCTCTGTCCCATAAAGGTCTTCCTCTCTATTTTCCTCCTTGATGTCTTTCCTCACACTCTCCCTTTTCTCCCACCCTCTGTCCACACTGTCTCCAGTAGTCTGTGCTTTTTTCTGCCTTGTAAGAAATCTTTCCTATGTCAGGTCATACAGATAACAGTGCTTTTCACATTTAAGTTTCCAGTCAGTCTGCAACTGAGTGGCATGGGTAGGAGTCTATTTTCGTTTTGGGAAAAGGGACTCAAACCGCAGTTGACTACGTGAGAGTCCAGCAACATAGCCATTACGCCAACTGCTGATCCCCGCACTAATTATCTTATCTCTCAAGAATCCTAACTCCTGGCCTGAGTTAATCCCATCTTCTAGCCTGCCTAACCCTGTGTATTATCTTCTGTTTCCACAGCCTTGTGGTTTTTGAAACCTAGTTCTAGCTGTCAGCAATTCAGAGACCTGAGAGCATCACCATTCCAAGCCCTCACACTTTGGTATCTTGCTTTCTTGATGCTGCCTGTCTTATTTTGATTTTTTCTCTCTTCACTTTACTTAAACTTCTGTCATGATTTTGAAAATATTTTCAGATTTTATTATGCGTTATCTACTGGGGGTGTTCTGCTTACCTACTATGCTAGGCAGAATAAAGTCCCAATTACGATTTCTTATTAAAATTGATTAGTAAATGAAATACAGAGGACAAAGTGGCTTTTTTATGGGGAGGGGACATATCTCAATCTGTAAATAGATGTATCATTATTTATAAATTAGTTTACTCCAAAGACAGCTATGGGACATGGACTTCACTTAAAATAGGCTGTCTGGCCTGTATCTTCTGGTTCATGTACGTCTGTAATGGGCACGGTGCCAGAGAATGGTCTCTATACATTTCGTGACCCATGTGCTTTGGGGTCATGATCTAAGTGTTGAAAATACTTACGTCTTTGAAATAATTTTTGCTTAATTTGAATTCAATAATGCTTAATTTGAATAAAATAATGCTTACAGCATTAAACATAATACTGAATAGTTATCTTGGCTTGGTAGGAAATGTGTAAGTTCTAAAGATAGAGTTCTCAGTTCAAATAACAAAGTTACTGAAAATACATAATGAAATATGTTTATGTAAGGCATTTTGAAAGTAGAGATTATCTTCCATATGTTAATTTCTAGTACCTAACATTCCAGGGGCACAGTAAGCCCTCAGTAATGGCTCACTGAATGATCAAGGAATTATTACTATTCTCGGCATTTTCAGACTTTTCAAAAGCTAGCAAACATCATGGTAATAAAGTTTTGGTCATTATTTTCATCACTAATCTCAATATAGTTACTATCTTATGTACTATGAAATATGGCAATTGCTGTGAAGTATGGTAATTACAGTGGCAATATATTGGCATATATGGGAACAGTACTGGTTAGCGATGAGATACTTACTGCAGTTGCCTGTGCATTATTGGGGTACATGTTAAGGAGCTCCTGAGGAGGGTTTAAAGGTCTGAGATAACGGGTAACAAAAACGGTTTTTCCACTCAAGTCAATTACGGTGGTAAGGCACTGTCGATCTGGAAACTTTAAGGCACAATCAGCTCGAAACTTCTCTGTTGCTTGAAGCAATTTCTCATCTTCCTGAGAGTCAAACTTCAAAAAGAAAGACTCTGTAGAGTTTATGTGTGATTACAAAAGACAAAGTAAAACACATTGGGATTCCAGAGTCAACACAACTGAGTGTATGGCTTGGAAAGTATGACTAAGTAATTTCCTTACAAAACCATCATGTCTTGCTGTGCCTCAAGCTTTATTTCATTATAATTTGAAAATGAGACTGATTCAAGGGCTGGCAGGTGGCATGGTGGTTAAGAGTGCTGGACTCTCATATGGCTGACCACGGTTCAAGTCCCAGACCTGGCAGCTTGCTTTCTCACTTTGCCTCTCTCTCTCTGTCCCTCTCTGGTCAAATTAAAATAAATAAGTAAGGGGACCAGCAGTTAGCACACTGGCTATGTCGCTGGACTCCCATGTAGTCAACCGCAGTTTGAGTCCCTAACCCAGTGGCTTAAACTCATGCCCGGTACGTGTGCGTGCGTGCCCAAGATCCCAGGAGGAAAATGGAGAAGAAGGGATTGTGGTGTGGTCATCCCCCCTGGGGGGTGATTTCTCCCTTTCTGTCTCTCTGTCTCTGTCTTTCTGGCAAGCACGCACACCTGATAGAAAAAGCTCTCCAAAAAAAAAGTAAGTAAATAAAGTTACATAAAAGAATTCTTTAAAAAAATAAAATTAGACTGATTCAATAAATAGACTTAAGACATATTCAATAGGATTGAAAGAAAATCAAAAGGCAAGCAGCCATATAGAAACAACTGAATTAATAAAATCATCTATAAAAATGAAACTATGACATAACTAATTCTGATTGATGAGACCAACTAATAGGATTTTCTGTGTATTTTGATATTGGTTTTAAGGGGGGAGGGCTCAGGAATCTAACATCTCAAATGTGAAGCTCCACTAACTTGTGTTAAATAGGTAGCAGATTTGTAGACTATTATATATAGATATGTTAAAAAGTTTCATATCCTAGTAATAAATAATATTAGTGGATCTCAAGGAAAAACATGCAGAACTAGAAACATCAAATGTACAATATTATTTTAAGTGGTTTGTCTGATTTAAGTTGCTCACCTGGCTGATGAGCAACCAGTTCTGAAATTTTTAAACAGTAACTCAAAGGAGAGGAAACAATAAATCCAGTCACCTTTATGTGTCATTTCCCTCCTTAAGGCACTGCTTTCAAAACTAGTGTGAAAAAAGCCTGAATCTACATGTTTTTACAAGGTTTTTATTGTTTAGTATAAAAATATGTTTTTATATTATATGGTTACTTACATTTCAAAGAATTTTAAGACGAAATCAAAATTTTCTTAGGCAAATTAATTTTTAAGAAGAATTTAAGCATAATTCTTGAATATATATATATATATATATATTTTTTTTAGAGAAATGCTTTCAGCTATCTGTTCCCACCCATACTCTAGGTTTTATTTTGTTTTTTGGGTTTTTTTTGTCTTTCAGTTAAAGCCACTGACATATGATATATTTGTTTACTCTGTCTTCCCCATAGGGTAATAGTCCTGAAGTCAGGGAGTTGGTTTTGATCTTTTTTTTTTTTTTTAAATCTTCATTATTGAAAATATTACCTGGCACATAAAGAATATTATTCAGTGACTGAGTGAATGAAAAATATCCCATTTCATTTTTATAACCTCAAATAGAATCTAGATTATCATAATCTTTCTTGATTTTCCCTTATTTTTGGGCTATTTTATGGTTCTATTTTTTATTCAATTACTATATACTATTGGGTTATTGGAAAAGTCATGGTGCATTTTTGCATAGAAAAAAACAGAAAAAATATGTCATGACTTTTTTGACAACTGAGTAGAGGTTGGGATCGTGGTTATAGTTTTATTTAGGATGGAGGTTATCTCTAAAATCTTCCTGTTACCCTGAGAAGATCTTACTGTTGAACTTATAACCACGAGCCATGCAGCACTGTGCAGACAGGATTGCTACCAGTAGGGGTTACTATGAATAACTAAGTGAAAAAAGAGCTCCTAAGGCTTTGGGTGAGTGTCTGACAGGTTCCAGATTATTTCTGAAGCCAGAAATAATAGTTTAGAAAGGTGGAGAATTATGAAGCAAGGGTTATATCAAAAGAAGAGAAAAGCCTCAGTTGAATTTATCCCTGCTCCCTAGCTCGCTTGTTCTTTCTTTCGTTCTCTCTTTTTTTTAAAGAGAGATCTTTGCTATGGGGCACATGTGCTTGCTGGAGACACAGGAAGACAGAGAGAGAAAGTACGAAATCACTCCCGGGGAGGATGGCCATGCTACAGTTCCTTCTCTATTCTCTTGTCAGGATTTGGGCACATGAGACCTGGGTGAGTTTCAAGTCGCTGGGTCCAGGAGTAGGACGGTCCGCCCTGTGGCAGTCCAGCAGCACAGCCGCTACGCCGACGGCTGGCCCGTCCCTGTTCCTTTACACCCACTTATCCAGTTACTTGAAATTGTTTTTGGAAGTCTAAAAGGTTCCAGACACCCTGGATTAGTATGGAACAATCCCCTCAAGGAACGTCTAGTCTAGAGGGGAACATTACTAAGCAACTAGGTACTTAGAACACTTGACCAGAGAGTTGTGAGGAAACAACATGTGCTCCGGGAACATATAACAGGTATCTGTGGACACCGTCCTGAAAGCACAACAGTAATGTCAAATCAGTTCTGACTACTGGCCTTTCAAGGTAAAAAAGCTGCCTAGGCTTCTTCTGATACTTGGGAATGAATATTCGGTTGTATATCTTGACTCTAACTAGTGCTCTTGAGGGGAAGGCCCATGTTTGAATAAGTTTCTGTTTCTTCCTGTACCTAGCATGTACATGGTGAATGTTTAATGGTATTTATCAACAGTCATTAATACTTATTGAGGCGGCCACCAGGATGCCATTTCCTGTTGGTAATCTAGAAAGTGCCAAGGAAAAGTGAAATAGTAAATAGTAAAAGAATGTGGTTGGTTGGTGTGTTTAAGGTTTTTGTCATAGGGTGAGTGTACTTGCCAGAGAGACAGAAAGAGACAGTGAGAGGGACTGTGAGAAATCACTCCCCCTGGGGGCATGGCCACACTGCAATCACTCCTTCTCCTGGGATTTGGGCATGCATGCACACGTGCCCAGCGTGATCTTCAAGCCACCAGACCCAGGACTTGAACCATGGTCAGCCATGTGAGAGTCTAGTGCCTTAGAACTACCACACCACCTGCTGGCCCCTGGATCATTTATTATGAAACAATTAAGTGAATCTGACAAATTCAACAAATTTGGTTCAAAATTTGGAAGATTCAGAACTGCTCAATTTTTTGATGTCCAGGTTAATATTGGGTCATCGGGTTCATCCTGCCTTTGAGTAGCTAATGCTGTGACAGCCCCATGTCCGAGCTACAGTGCTCCTGTGAAGAGCAGCTCCTGGATCTTCATGTGTTGGAAAGGTGGCAAGTGTGCACACCAAGCGTGCAGGCGATGGTTCTGCACACTCAAGGTGAACTGAAATCTTCCTGACAAAATGAACGGGCCAAAAGACAAAGCTGGACATTCTTTTTTGGGGGAGAGGTTTTTGCTATAGGGCTCATGTGCTCGCCAGACAGAGAGCGAGAAATCACCCCCCACAATCCCTTCTCCTCCATTCTCCTCCCAGGATCTTGGGCACACACGCACAAGCGCCCGGCATGAGTTTTAAGCTACTGGGCCCAGGACATGATCCACGGTCAACTACGTGGGAGTCCAGCGACATAGCCATTACACTAACTGCTGGTCGCAAAGCTGGACATTCTTAAGCTACGGGAGCACACGCATAATCGGGACCCAGCACTGCCCCAGGTACAAAAGCAGCTAGTTAAAGCCTACTAACTACCGACTGTTGGACTAATATAAGAGAAAATACTTGGTACCTTCTTAAGCATGTCATTCATCTATCAGAGGCAAGAAAGAAAAAAGAAACGAGGAAAACTTTGTTAACAGAAATCATCTATTTTTAAAAACTTGTTCTTAGTCAATACAATACAAAATAAGGGATGTTAAAATAAGTTTCTGAGGTTGGTACTGATTTTTATAATTCTTCTATTAGTAAATACCTTTTAAAAAATCATATGGAATGGTTCCATATAGACATTGATAAAGGGATGACTCTAAATCTACTAATTCTGAAGACTGCTGTAAGTAGAAAAATAATTCCTGGTTGTGTTCTTCATTGTTTTAGGGTGAGAGCTCTTTCCTGAATATTCTGCAAGTGTATGACAGTGAGTGCTGTTTTCTGCCACTGTGTGTTTAGGACCCTAGGGTCCTGTTAATCATCCAGCTTCCTTCTCAGATAACTACAGAGAATCTGCTTTCCAGAGGAGTTTCAAAACCTTTATTTTGAAGCCGAAGAGAAATGCTTCACACAGCCACAGTGGGGCAGTGAAATGCTGCTCAGGGCAGCAGCTGCCCGCTGGGTGAACAGCTGGACGGAGGGAAGGCTGCAGGGGGTGAGCACTGTTTCAGAGCCTTGGCAGCCTCTTCAAAGTCCTGCGGTAGGAAATCAGGGCCACGAGGATGCTTCCTATCAAGGGTCCTCAGATTTTCATCTTTCCTGCCAGTCAGACTTGCTTGTCCATGTTTTGGAAGCTCACCCCTGAATGGGGTATCTGACGTCTTTTTCTAATGTTAACAATGCAAAAAATAATAAAGTCATCTTTCATCCAGGAGTCTTGTTCTGTACAAACATGCTTGTTGACTTGCTTTTGAGTTTACAAAAGAAATACACTTTCAGATTGTATAGCTTTCCTTCTAAAAATATTTTGGAATGCACATATTCTAATATGCTTTCAGAGAACCACAACTTTAGTGACAAAAACTGGCATATAAGATTAACTGCATTTCAGCACATTTGTTTCTCTAATAACCCTTCATGTCCTTCTGTAAATAGGAGACATTGATACTATTTCTTTCTGTGAACCAAACTGGAATACTAGAAAAGAAACTGGAGTGTTTTTATTTCTTTTCATCTCCTCCTGAGTCCTTATTACAATGAATAAACTATACAGTTGGCACAATAATCTATATGTAGTTAACAATTTGTTCTTACATGTAAATGTAAGCTTGGTGGAATCTTTATCTGCTTTTCTGGGCTGCACCTCCAGTGCCTTAAAAATGCCTGTTGCTTAGAAGATAATCAGTATGTTGTGTTCTTCATTGTTTTAGGGTGAGGAGAGCTCTTTCCTGAATATTCTGCAAGTGTATGACAGTGAGTGCTGTTTTCTGCCACTGTGTGTTTAGGACCCTAGGGTCCTGTTAATCATCCAGCTTCTTTCAGTTGTATGTTGAATACATACAACTACAATTTAGGGTCAGGAAGACATTTATATTACCTCTGCCATGTACTATCTGTGTGGTTCTGGGTAACTTGAGTCTTACTCTTTTTTACTTCTTTAAAAATAAATCTGCTAGAGGGCATGCATGCACATGAGAGCAATGGAGAGGCAGAGAGAGAAAGGGAAAGTGAGAAAGCATCCTCATTATGTTAAGAAAAGTTACTTTCCCGGGCCTGCAGGGGGGATAGTGGTTAAGGTGCTGGACTTCCACATGGCTGACACCAGTGTGAGTACTGGACCCAGTGGCTTGAAACATACGCCGGGTGTGTATATGTGTGCCCAAAATCCAGAGAAGAGAATGGAGGAGAAGGAATTGCAGTGTGGCCATCCCCCCGCTAGTGATTTCTCACTCTCTTGGTGTCTCTTGTGAGTGCATGCACCCCATAGCAAAACCTCTCTTAAGAAAAAAAAAAAGAAAAAGTTATTTCCCAGTGGAAAGTTGGGGAACAGTTGCAAAAAATGAAAGTTCTGGGAAATCCTTTTTTCAAAGGTGTTTAGAAGAGTAATTGCACATATATTTATTTGTTTTATGAAATGAACTGCGGTGACTGATGACTCCTATTACAGTCCAATTAATTGACTCAATGTATAATACAGCCAGGAATATGAGGTCAGACATGGAAATGCATTTCAGCATGATTTCCAGTAATGTCAGATAAAAGAGCATTCTGATTTTCCAGTTTGTTGCTAATTTTCTTCACATTGAGAAAATTCTTCTAAAAGCAGACCATGTTTATATTTGTCTTGTTTTGCCTAAGAGTTTAAGCTGCTGATTGAACTAATTATTGGCTCAGTGGAAACACAAACCCACACATCTGTTCTATCACCATCATTCTGTCCAAACTGAAAGAACAATAACTAGACGTTGAAGTAAGGAAACCTGTTTGTACAGAGCAGTAAAAGTTTACAACAGCACAGCCCCGCAAGCATTTCTCACCAGACATGCGTCAACATCAGACACGTGTTTCCAACCCATAAGCAGGTTACCTTTTCTCGAACTGACTCCCCAGGAACCAGCTGAGGTTCAATGGTAATAAACAGGGTGATGTAAGAGCCCTCACTTAAGCTTTGGCCAGAATCAAAGCCCCGTTCAACAATGTGTCGCTCCTTACTGTAGCCCAGAAGAACTGGTGGAATATTTATTTTAAATGTTCCATCAATCTATGAAGGAAAAATGACTTGGTAAACAACTGGTGATTCCTAAAAGATGTTCCAAAGAACGTATCAACTTCTCATTGTTTGATGCATTAAGTAAAAACTGCTCAGATTTTGGCATTCAAAACCTACTCCATTTTTCTACCTGTGTCTCCCAAAACTCTCTCTCCTAAAAGGGCTCCATATTTTTCTACCTTCTTTTCTTGTTTAGCAGAGAGTGTACTGGTTATGCAAGTTGCCTGGGGTAGCAATACCAGTTTTGTGTTGTGAGGTTTAACTGAGATGGCATTTAAATTACTTAGTAATAATATATGTAATATGCACCCAATAAATAGTTATTACTATTATTATTATTACTGAATCAGGATTTGACTTGTTGTGTGTAGCTCCAGAGAACTGGACCAGAACCTATGACTGAGGATTAGAGGTAAGTACATCCATTATTGCACCGTGCAGGTAAACTTTACGTCAGAGCTATTGGGAAGAGAGCGGACTGCCTTCTAAATGGTGAGCTTCCTCTGAGTGAATTCTAACAGCACTCAGGCCGGGCATGGACATTGCCCGGATATAGCATAGGAGACTGAAGTAGCTACATCTGAGTACCCTCCTAAACGTGAAATTCAGCAACGCTAAATATCACAGGCAGTGTAATCTGCAATATGCGTGTGTTTAAAATTTTTTTTTTCCATTTAGAATCTATTCAGAGAGAAATGTATATTCTTCTGGCAAGCACTGCAGCATAACCTATGGACTGTTCTTTGCCTAGAAGGATGGCAATTCCAATTGATCCATGATGTTTCAACCAGTCCAAGCCTCTAGGACTTGATTTTGGTGTCAGTCTTAGAGGAGACTGACCCAGGCAGATCTGTTCTATGTGGTAATCACAGCGGCTTAACGCCACCTGTTGCCATGGATTTAATACTGATGTTAGCGCCATTTCAGAACCTAGCAGCCCCAGGGTAGGACTGGTAAGTCATTCAAGACTTGTCAAACTGATGGATCCTCTTAAGTAAAATCTTCAAATCTGAAGGAGAAATGTCTTTGTTGAGCAAGCCTGTGATAACCATTGTTAATGTTCTAAACGTGATTACTTCTAGAAGTATTAATAGAATGTACTCGATTAAATGGGCCGGCAACTGTCCTGATCGCTTTCCTCGATTATTTCAGGCACCTACCCTTTCTGCTTTTGTCATTTTGACACATTTCCACTTTGTCCTCCCTTCTTCACTTCCATTTAAATGTTTTTTAAAATTCCCAGACTAGAAGAGTTATACATTACCTACTCTAAGAAACATAAATGTTTAATAAGTCATGCAGATGTGATGGCTTTATATAGTGGTTTTAAATCTTTCCAAGGGCTTTGCACATTGTATTCTCTCAGTGTTGAAGGTATGTTCCCACAAAGACAGTTTTAATAAGGAAAGTGGATGGAGCAATCCCCTATTCTGATGGAATTCAGACTTTAGATGCTTACCCTTGCTTGGAAATATATTGTGCTAAATGGAATTTTCACACATCCCAACCAATGTCTTTCAATACGTGTATGAATTCCACTTTCTCTTTCACGGTCATCCTAAAGGAAAAGTGAAAAATACATCCATTTAGTTAATTTGGTATCAGGAAAGCAGTAGGATTTTAGCTGAAAGCATAGACATTTAGGTTGGACAGGCCTAATCAAATTCTGGTTCACACTCTTGATAGCTTTATGGCTCTAGGAAACTCATTTAAACTCTGAGCCTCAGTTTTCTCATTAATAAACTAGAGGTTTAACAATCTACTTCATAGGACTAATTATTTTTATTTTTTATTCATGATGGAACATGTGCACCTGCACATGAAAGAGAGGAAAGAGAGAGAGGTAAACACACTCAGCAGGGTCTGGCCAGTGGCAGTTCCCAGGCCATTAGATCCGGAGCAGACATGTATGCCCTCACTGTCTCGATTGACTGGCTGGGGGCTGGAATCATGGCTACCATGTGGCATCCAGCTTCTTTTGACCAGTGCATTTTCATTGCGCCATGGAGCTGGCCCCATGGGGTTATCTTATAATTAAATAAGACAGGGTATATACAGCTCCTACTACAATTCCTAGCACAGAGCGCTCAACTGAAAATTAAAAACAAAATGAAAACCGAGTTCTTTCTTCCTCTCTCCCTTTTCCCTATTTATGTTTGGCACTTACAGTGTGGGTAGAGAATATGGAAACGAGACAGGTGTCTTCCTCAAAGCCGAGAACCTACCTCTGTGATATCGTACATGACTTCATCAAAGATGTTAATGAATACGTCGTCTTTCACTGACTGCAAACTGGCTGTACTGTAATCCCCGTTAGGGGCCCTGCAAAGTAACGCACGACCAGGGACCGTGAAAACTGACAAAAGGAAAATTAGGAGCACTGAAATGTAATCATTTGAAAGCACGCAAACACATGCATAGGTACGAGGGTATTAGGAGCACTGAAATGTAATCATTTGAAAAACACGCAAACACATGCATAGGAAAGAGGATTAAAAGCAGTGCTTTCATTTCAGGAGTTTCTCTTGTACAAGGATGCCATACACTAGCTTGTCCTGGGAGTCTCTCATTCCCTTTTCACCCTCATTTCACACTCACGGTAAGCTCTACAAGAAGCCAGCTCAGCAACACTAAGCTGGCTCGTGGGACGAGCCAAATGTCTCCTCACACTGGAAGCTAACTGGACGCTGGAAGGTTCTTCTCCCGGGAGACCATTGCTGTCATGAACCTTCTGTTCTCTGGCTGGTGGAGTGGTCCCTGCCTCCCACTCATTCTCCCTCTGCATGAGTGAAACACCGCAGCGGTGAGGCTCTTTCCCCGAGTCCCGCCAAGCCTGGCCCAAGCACGTCTGTGTGACAGGGCTGCTGTGTGCCTTCTGCCAAGCACTTGCCTTTACATTGTCTCCTTTTTGCTTGTTTCATGTGTAATGGTATCTGTCTCCCTCTTCTGACTTAACTAGTTCTAATCCTTGTGCTGTTTTTAAGTCGCTATGTGGTTTCGAGTAAGATATTTTACCTTTTGGGTTTTATTTTCTTCTCCATAAAAGTACAGGGCTGGGGACCAGCAGTTAGCATAATGGCTATGTCGCTGGACTCCCACGCAGTCGACTGCGGTTTGC